ACATTCGTTGACATTTCATTCAATTGTTCATTCTCTTCACACCTTCGATCAATGGTTGCCCGTACAAGTACATGCACACGCATGCTTTAACGTGGAATACTCAAAGCTTATACCACTTGGCCTCAAATGTACAGGAGCACGACGGTGCGAGGCGGCATGCCACGACGATTCGTACGAATTTGCCGTTACAGACAGAACTATTACACACATGCGCGGTCGTCTTCGCGCGACATTTGCGTGGTGGAGCTCATGGTGCCCCAGCAGCCTTGTCCTCTCCGTCATCGCCAAGGGTTACTGGTTGCCATGGAGCCACGGCCCACCGCAACATTTCCACGATCGCAATCATGTCGGGGCAAACACGCATGCCACGTTCACACGTACCGCCATCCAAGAACTCATAGAGACGGGAGCGGCAATTCCGATGGCCGCAACGGAGCTTACATGCATAAGTCCACTCAACGTGGTCGAGCAAAAAGACAAATGCAGGCTCATTCTTGATCTGAGGAAAGTCAACGCCAACTTGATCATCCCCAAGTTCAAGTACGAAGGGCTCAGCCGCGTCGCCGACCTCGCGCGCGTTGGGGACCGGATGTTCTCCATTGACCTCAAATCTGGTTACCACCACATCGACATCCACCCATCGTGCTGGAAGTTCCTTGGCTTTGAATTTGATAAGCGCACATACGCATTCCGTTCACTACCATTTGGCCTCGCGACAGCTCCATTCGTTTTCACGCAGCTCATCAAGCAACTAGCTCGGCGTTGGCGAGAACAAGGCATCCGAGTCGTACCTTACGTGGACGACATCTTATTTCTCTGCCAGTCGAAAGAGGACGCGCAAGCAACTTGCCAACGGGTGATATTGGATCTTAAAGAGGCAGGCCTTGTGATAAACGCGAAGAAATCACAACTGTCACCATCACAGCGTCTCCGATTCCTGGGCGTAGAACTCGAGATCGATACCGGCCGATTCTCCATCGGTCCGGACCGACGAGCCTCACTACATGCAACCATCCGAAACCTCCTGAGCGCAAGCAAGGCATGCCGACCAGTCCCGGTCCGCCACGTGGCCAGAATCACTGGCATGCTCGCATCGATGGGTGTCGCACTTGGCGCGACAGCTCGCGCATTCAGCCATGCTATGTTACAAGTGATCGACGACGCACCGTCATGGAAAAGCAGCGTCGTTATCCCCCCATCTGCAGCAGAAGAGCTCCAATTTTGGCTCGAGGAGTTCGACCGTTTCAACGGCGCACCTTTTCACGTCAAGAACAGCTACGACGCGGTAATCCACGTGGATGCCAGCTCTCATGGTTGGGGCGCCACTCTGACCACATTTCCGGGTGGCATCGAAGAAGCTAGCGCAACCATGTCAGAGCCGCTACGAGGAACGTCCAGCACGCGACGGGAGATTGAAGGCGTCCTCTGGGCGCTACAAACGTACGCGAACAAGATCAAGCAAAAACACGTTCTCGTGCGGGTGGACAACCAGGGCGCATTCTTCATCCTTCGCAAAGGCGGCTCTCACAGCCCCGACCTCACAACGGCATGCAAGAGCATCATCCGAACATGCATGGCGCTTGGCACGCGCTTGATCATTGAATGGATTCCGCGCGAGCTCAACACACACGCCGACGAGCTTTCAAAAATGGTCGACCACGACGATTACGCGCTGAAAACGCCGTGGTTCCGGATCTTGGAACGTCGTTGGGGCCCTCACTCCATCGACCTTTTCGCAAACTCCCGCAACACCCAACTGCCGCGCTTCTGTTCAAAGATTCCCCACCCGGCAGCCATTGCAGTTGATGCGTTCTCGATCGCGTGGACACCTGAAAACAACTTCGCCTTCCCCCCACCTCAACTGGTCCCAGCCGTCCTCCATCACGCACAACGCACCCATGCATCACTCACACTGATAGTTCCGCACTGGCCAGGCGCAAGCTGGTGGCCACTCTTGCAACCCTCCCCACGCACTTGGGCACCACACATCCACGCGCACATCCCTCTGACACACGGAAGCCAATGCCTAGACGTAGGGTCCCATTCAACTGCTTTTTCGGGCATGGGACTACCGCACAGCCCAATCATTGCACTGCGAGTGGCATTTGACTAATTCAAAATATATACACCTTGTGTTCAGATTTGCTCCCAAAGTTACACGACCAACTGATCAACATGCTCGCGCAGTCCCGCGCCGATTCTACGATCCGGACATATGAACCATACTGGGCCAAGTTTCGAGCCTTCTGCACAAAAGTGAACCTTCCATTCCTCCCGGCATCCGACATGACCCTCGCGCTATACCTGGTACACGCAATCCGACGCAAAGCCACCCTGTCCGTAGTGCAGCTAACCTGCTCGGCGGTCAGCTTCGCCCATCGCATGACCGGGAGCAAATGCCCGACAACCGGACCGTTCACCACCCAAGTCCGTGACTATGCAAAGCGACACTGCCCACGCCCTACTCGTCTGAAGGAACCCGTCTCGATCCAACAAGTCCAGGAAATGGCCGCGAGCTACTTGCAGTCCGACGATCCTGCGCAATTTCAGAAAGGGTTGATACCCATCCTCATGTACTCCGGATTCCTGCGATACTCTGACCTAGTAGCCATAAAATGGCAAGACATCCAATTCGACGACGAGGTCATGTGGATTCTCATACCACACTCCAAGACCGATCAAGCTGGTCACGGCACTTGGATACCCATTGCAGCAACGGCGAACCCCTGCTGCCCAGTGCGCTGCACCCGACGCTTCATCCGACTCGCTGGCTATGGCCCACGGTCAGAGGGACCATTGATTCGTGTCTTCGGTCACGGTTCAACCAGCGAGGGCCAGGCTAGGCCACCTTCATACACTACGATCCGGAACTGGTGCAAGGAAGCCTTCGCAAAGGTTGGCCTTGGAGAGTTGCAGCTAGGCACCCATTCTTTCCGAAAAGGTGCAGCCACAGTAGCAGCCAACACGGGAGTGCCAGACAGAGTCTTCAAACGGCTGGGCAGATGGCGAAGCGACACAGCAAAGGAAACGTATGTTACGCCATACGTCGAGCCCCTCATCGAAGCCTCCCGTACCCTACAAGATTCGACGCATGCGGTGTCATCGGCGCAACACACAGAGGCACTCGTACGCAACCGGAGGCCCCCGCTGCCCATGTCTCAGAGACCCCATTTGTAATGAGAACGATGCCAATTGATAAGAAAGAAAGCAAGCTTTCTCAATATTATAATTTTTAAACACACATGTAGTGTTTTTTAAAATTGTGTATTGTGAAAGCGAAGCTGCTTGTACTGCACAATTGGCGTCGTCGAAGCGCGCTAAACGCCCTTCTCCAACTACAAAAACCGTGGGTTGGAGCTCATTTCCCTCCACCCACGTTTCTCAATTTTCAAACGGCTTACTCAACATTCCCACCACCCACCCCAGTGTAAACCGCCTTGCTAATGCCACTTGGATAGGGTACATAATAGCTAGTGTTATTAGTCCGCACTAGCTTATGTCGAACGATGATGCAAATGTTGTAATACGCCATTTGTAATGAGAACGATGCCAATTGATAAGAAAGAAAGCAAGCTTTCTCAATAATCCAATACAAAATAGTAGCCCCAACTAGCCTTAATAACCTTAGAGATGAAGATCTTCTTGATGCCTTTGATGAAAAACACTTGAAGTAGTAGTGTAGGGAAGCTTGTGTGAAAGACAGAAAAGCTTAGCCAAATAATCTCATTTCCAATTGTTTTGTTGGAGTGGGAGGTGAAGAATGAGCTTGGTTAGCTCAAACCCCCTCAATACACCCCTTGGGAGACTTCCCCAACCATGGTTTCCATGGTGGGATGGTCCCTAGGCTTGGAGCCTATGTGGCAATTAGTTGGGTTGGGAAAACCCAACTTAGAACCATTGAACGGTTGTGTTTATGATATAGTAGATTGTAACAAATGTTTGGCAGTTTGTGATTGGTTCAAATTCCAACCTTCATTCTCACTTTGATGGGTTGGAGTTTCTCAAACCTTTTGGTTGAGGTTTGGAATGCCAAACCAATCCTTCCATCCCAATCAAAGCCAACCTTCTTCTCCAAGTCCCTCTTTGTTGAGGAAGCTCTCGACATTTGCTTAGAGGGAAGTTGGTTATTGAGCAATGCGTTACACCCCTTGTCACACGCTCGTCCCTTCGTCACGCGCGTTCCCCTTCGTCACGCGCGCTTCCCTCCTTCACGCGCATTTCCCCTCGACACGGCCGCTTTCCCTCGTTACGCGCCCTCCTCTCCTTGTCACGTGCGCTTCCCCTCGTTACGCGTTATCCTCCCCTCGTCACGCGCACTGCCCTCTCGTTACGCGCCCTCCTCCCCTTGTCACGTGCGCTTCCCCTCGTTACGCGCTATCCTCCCCTCGTCACGCGCACTGCCCCCTCGTTACGCGCCCTCCTCCCCTTGTCACGTGCGCTTCCCCTCGTTACGCGCTATCCTCCCCTCGTCACGCGCACTGCCCTCTCGTTACGCGCCCTCCTCCCCTCGTCACGTGCGCTTCCCCTCGTTACGCGCTATCCTCCCCTCGTCACGCGCACTGCCCCTCGTTACGCGCCCTCCTCCCCTCGTCACGTGCGCTTCCCCTCCTTACGCGCTATCCTCCCCTCGTCACGCGCACTGCCCCCTCGTTACGCGCCCTCCTCCCCTCGTCACGTGCGCTTCCCCTCCTTACGCGCTATCCTCCCCTCGTCACGCGCACTGCCCCCTCGTTACGCGCCCTCCTCCCCTTGTCACGTGCGCTTCCCCTCGTTACGCGCTATCCTCCCCTCGTCACACGCACTGCCCCCTCGTTACGCGCACTCATCCCCTTGTCACGCGCTCAACCATCCACTTGCGCTCTTTCGTAGATCACTAGCTGAAGCTGATACCACGCGCGCTAAGCCTCGTCACGCGCACGTGTCGTTGCCCCAGTTGCTCCTCTAAATCCTCGCCTCCCGTCGTCGCTTTCGCCACCCCTAACGAACAGTGTTTGTCCTTATCACCAGCGCCTACCCACGTCACCATCGACACTATCGAGTGTAGCAACTCCCACATATGCCTTCGCTCCATCCAGACATAGTGAGTGCATGCAGATGTGAGAGGCAGAGGGGGATGGACAGCTGAGGGGGGGATGGTGCCATGGTGAAAGAATGATTCGCAGGGGACAGGAGGGGAACGGGCGAGGGAGATGAGAACCTTCATATCCCCCCACACACCACCCTCTCTCCCCCTTCATATCCACCTCCATATCCCCCCGCACACCATCCTCCTTCCCCCTTCATATCCACCTCCATATCCCCCCGCACACCACCCTCCCTCCCCCTTCATATCCACCTCCATATCCCCTTGCACACCACCCTCCCTCTCCCTTCATATCCACCTCCATATCCCCTTGCACACCACCCTCCCTCCCCCTTCATATCCACCTCCATATCCCCCCGCACACCACCCGCCCTCCCCCTTCATATCCACCTCCATATCCCCCCGCACACCACCCGCCCTCCCCCTTCATATCCACCTCCATATCCCCCCGCACACACCACCCGTACACCCCCCACCCCCCCCCCATATACACCTCCATATCCCCCCGCACACCACCCGCACACCCTCCCCCCATATACACCTCCATATCCCCCCGCACACCACCCGCACCCCCCCCCCCCATATACACCTCCATATCCCCCTGCACACCACCCGCACACACCCCCCCCCCCATATACACCTCCATATCCCCCCGCACACCACCCGCACCCCCCCTCCCCCCACCCCCCATATACACCTCCATATCCCCCCGCACACCACCCGCACACCCCCCCCCCCCCCCCCCCATATACACCTCCATATCCCCCCGCACACCACCCGCACCTCCCCCCCCCCATATACACCTCCAGTGGCAACGGTAACGAACTGTGGTTGACGCGCGACGGGCCTGTGACTGAGGTGGGGAAGTGTCGAGGCGGAGGCCCGGAGCGCGGGTTACCAGCCGAGCCGGGAGGCCGGGTTGCGATGTGCGAGGTGGCGGGAAGATTGTCGAAGCGAGGGTCGCGAGTGGTAACGGCGCTGACTCTAGTGCTACAGTGATGTATGCGCTAAGCAGGGATGCGGCGTAAGGAAATGGAAATTTCCTTACACTATCCCCCCCCCCCCCCAAAGGAGGCCCTCCTTACGAGAGTGCATGTACGTCCCGGAAACGCGCAGACAGTCGGTGAGGACGGGGTGGTTTTCAATCTTGTCCAGGGGAACCCAATTGTCTTTAGTTGGGGTGCGGTCTTTCCATCGAATCAGGAACTCGATCCTGCTGGCTCCACATGGGCCATGAACGCGATGGCTCGGAATCTTCTCGGGTATGATGACTGGCTCGATGGGTGGTCGTGTCATGCTGGCGGGTCGGTGGCGGGGCAGTTGGCTTGTGGATGGTACGTAAGGGCGGAGGAGGGTGATGTGGAAGGACGAGCTGACGTACCAGTCAGCGGGGAGGAGGAGGTGGGCGGTAACGGGGGTGATCATGCCGCTAATACGAAATGGCCCGCAATATCGGGGGTGGAGTTTCGGGGCAATGAGGAGGCAGAGGTTTTGAGTGTCGAGTAAAACTAAGTCGTTGGGCTGGTAAGTGACGGGACGGCGGTGGCGATCGGCGTTGCATTTAGCGATTAAGCTTGATTTTTTTATTGCGTCTGCTGCCCGGGTCCGTGCTGCCTGTAAAATTCCGGCGAACTGCTGCGCACGTGGTACGGGGTTGTCAGGATTTGGGGTCATGGGTACTGTGGGGTCTTGTCTGTAGTTCAGATAAAACGGTGACTGTTGGGTTGTGGCGGATGGCGAGTTGTTGTACGCGAACTCGATGAGTGGCAGTTGCTGTTCCCACGTCAGTGGATCGTCGCACGTGGCTCGTATAAGCTGCTCCATGGCCTGGTTTGTCCGTTATGTCTGTCCGTCAATCTCGGGGTGGTACGACGAACTAAATTGTAGTCACGTGCTGAACTGCTGCCACAGATTCCGCCAGAAGTTGCTAGTAAACATTGTATCCCTGTCGCTAATGATTGCTGTTGGTATTCTGTGTAGTCGAACGACAGTGGCGATGAAGAGCCGAGTTGTTTCTTTGGCTGGGATGGTTTTCTTGCATGTTGCGAAATGCACCATCTTTGTCAACCGATCGACGACGACCAGGATCGCGTCGTTCCCACTCGCCCCGGCCGGTAACCCCGTGACGAAGTCCGTCGTCACCTACTGCCAAGCACGCTATGGGGATGGTATCGGCTGCAACTGCAGTGCCGGCCGCTTCCGTGATGATTTCATGAGCTGGCAAGTGGGATACGATGCCACGTGTCGCTGTACGTCGGTCAACATTTCGAGCCAAAAATAGTACTGCTGTAGCTGTTGCCGTGTTTTCTCTACCCCGAAATGACCCGAGGTAACGCCGTCGAGTGCCTCTTGTATTAACAGCTTAGTAGAGTATACCGTGGTACCCAGATGCGGTTGGTGCCGGCTTTTGCGTAATAAACTCCTTTTGCCGCTGCGAACTGCTGCGAATTGCCTCTTTGTGAAGAATGGGTCGATTTGATACCCGTGGGTAAATAGTCCTGTCAGTAGTGAGCTAGTCTGGGCGAGTATTATGGCATGAATTTTTGCAGTGGGACGGGTCAGTGCGTCGGCGATATTGGATGCTCCCTTTTTGTAGGTGACCGTGTAGTGAAAATTTGAGTCGAGAAAATCGAGCTAGCGAATCTGTCGTGGGTTGAGATTTGGGTGTGCGTGGAGGTACTGTAGTGTTTTGTAATCTGTCCGTACTATCACGTCGACTCTGGTCAGGTAACATCGCCAGACTTTGAAAGCATGCACGATCGCAAGCATTTTGCGGTCGTGTATCGGGTACTTCTTCTCGGGCGGATGCAGCTTCCGTGATTCGTACGCGATGGGTTGGAGGCCATTGCCGAAATCCTGTAATAGAACTGCTCCGATGGCGATGTCGCTTGCGTCTGTAACGACTTCGAAAGGGCGGTGGGGGTCGGCAATGCGCAGGACGGGTGGTGTACAGATAACATTTTTCTGGGTAGAGAAGGCGTCATGCTCTTTCTCCCCCCTCGTAAACTCTACCCCTTATCGCAGTAGGTCAGTCAGTGGGGCAGTCAGCTGCGCCATGTCGGGGACGAACCGACGGACGTAGTTAACGAACCCTAAAAAACTCTATAATTCCGTGAGGTTCGTCGGGGGGCGCCACGCTTTTACCGTATCCAACTTCTTTAGGTCAATTTTGACCCCAGCCTCCGAAATCACGTGCCCTAGATATTCTAACCGGTCCTGAAAGAACTCACATTTTGATCCCAGGAGGCGATTCTTGTCTAAAATCTTAAACACTGCTTCTAAGCCCGTTAAGTGCTGCTGCTTATCCCAGCTGTAAACTAGGATGTCGTCGAGGTAAACTATCACGGACTTATCTAATGGCAGTCTAAACGCCTCGTTCATGGTCATCTGAAATGTCGCGGGGGCGTTGGTCAGTCCGAAGGGCATGACAGTGTACTCGAAGGATCCGTATCTAGTGCGAGAAGCTGTCTTGGCGCAGTTGGATGGTTCGACCCTAATCTGATGGTTACCCCCCGGTAGGTCAATCTTCGAAAATACTCGGGCTGTTCGCAGATGGTCTATCAGTTTGTCATCGCAGGGAATCGGGTATCGCAATTTGATGGTTACTCGGTTCAGTGCTCGGTAGTCAACACACATGCGAAAACCTTCGTCCTTTTTTGGTGTGAACAGTATCAGTGCGGCGAATGGTGACGAACTTGGTCGGATGAACTGCATCTCTAACAGATAATCTAACTACTTCCTGAGCTCATCGAGCTCCGGCTGTGTCAGTCAGAACTGTCGCTGTACAGTTGATTGTGCCCCTGGTTCTAATACTATTTTGTGGTCGTGTACGCGCTGAGGTGGCAGTCCTTTCTGTAGTTCGGGCGGTATGGTTGCTAGAAGTTTCTGAAAATCACTCCTCGCCTCTACTTCTCCCACTACTGCTATGTCCACTGCGTACACGTCAGCTCCAGCGGTGACAGCCCGTTTCATCATGATGGCGTTGACGTGGACCCTTGAACACACATGCGGACTGCCAGCGAGGTAATTCGACCCAGTTACCACTACTTCGCACAGTGCAGCTACCCGTCGTCCAGTCAATTCGCGGGTTGTATCGTCGCAGCCAAACACGTCCCAGTAAAATGTCGTGCCCATCCAGTGTCGTCGCGAGCATTCCCTGTGTAAACCCAAAGTTCCCCCCGTAGCAAACTTTTACTCTCTCCACTTTCTCCCGTATGGCCGGAGGCGTGCCGTCGACTAAGCGTATGTCTATTTCCGGTAAGCAGCGGTTAAGCGTCAGTTGGAGCTTTCGAGCGGTCGCGGTATTGACTATGTCAGAATCCCAACCACTTGACCATTGGGATAAAAGGGCTTGTTTGTGTAGCGAGTGAGTGCGCCCATAACCCCCTAGGCCAACGTGCCTGTAACCCTTCCCTAGGATCAATCGAGGATCACCACTGGACCTCTGACACCCCCCCGCACTGGGATGTCCGAAGTGCACACACTAGGATTCGAACCCGAGACCTTCGCTCTGATACCATGTCAGAATCCTAGCCACTAACCACTGGGATAAAAGGGCTTTTTTCAGTAGCGAGTGAGTGCGCCCATAACCCCCCAGGCCAACGTGCCTGTAACCCTTCCCTAGGATCAATCGAGGATCACCAGTGGACCCTTACAGACTAAGCTGTGACTTGCTCCTCCCTCGATAATTTTTTTGACGCTCTCCTCTGTATCTTCCCGTAAAGCAGTACTGGGCAATCCCGTCCCTGTACCCTCCTTATTCAGCCGAGCCCGATCGATAGCATCAATCGGTACTGTGACTCGAAGAGGGTCAGTGAGGTTGGGCGAGCAGGTAATCTCGTCAGTAGTTGGCCCGTTCTCTACTGACTGCTTGCGTTTCCCTACCTCTAATATTTCTTCCCCTGTTGTGATTATCAGCGTTTCTGTACGGTTCTAGGCCTTGTGCCCACTTGGCCTCACTTGCTCACTTCTTGACCTTGTTTGTACTGTGATGTATATACTTGTACCTGCATGCTTACACTTGCTAGGTTGTGATCACTCTACTGCTTGTTCTACATTATATAACTCTGCATGTGAACTGGCCTTCTGGCCAATTGCTTGTGCTTAGAATGTGTGATGACTTCATGATCCACCCTGAGCTTGCTTTGTTTTGTCGTTTCTCTTGACTGGTCATGTGACCATTGCTTTCTCTCGCTATCCCCCATGCCTATGGGGGTGTGTCAAAACATATATGCTTATGTTGTTTAGGCTATATGGGTGTTAGCACTAGGGGGTACAGAATCTCACTCGATGTTGTTCTTGTACCCCTCCCCTTGACCTAACGACCATCCCATTCTTCTCGACATATGTATGAGTATGTATATGTGTATATGTATATGTATATGTATATGTATATGTATATGTATATGCATATGTATATGTATATGTATATGTATATGTATATGTGTTAGAATCAAGAAGTGATGAACTAGAAACATTTGGGAGTACAAGTATGAAACCCTAGAGAAATGTACCCCCTAAAGGCTAACCCACTGTAGCCTACACAGCAGTAACATATATAATGTTTGACACACCCCCATAGGCTAAGTGGGGGAGAGCAAGGGGTCACACGACCAGTCAAGAAAGACAAAGAAAGCTCAGGGTGGATCACAACGTCACCACACACTCTGAGCACAAGCAAAGGGCCATAAGGCCAGTTCACATGCAGAGACATATATGCAGTACAAAAAACACAGGGATCTTGACCTAGCAAAGCAAACA